GCTCCTCACTGAAGCTCAGACACACGAGGACAGAACTTCCTCTCAAAGCTATAAAACTCATCCAAACTGAAAACTGCTCTGAGGTGCACGACGGTGATCTACAACGAGAGATCAGCCAAGTTTATGTTGGGCTTGGACTTTAGAGGTCAAACTGAAACATACCTCATAGTCTCATTGATTCACTTCTAAGATGTTTTGAAGCAGAGCTTGAATTTATTAAAAGTATTCTCAGTCTTTGTTACGCTGACCTGGCCTCGTTTATGACAGATGTAGACCGCTAACAGGGGAGGGGATTTTTCTGGGATGAGGCGGCTTCAGTAATCGCATGCTGAATGTTTTCAAACTTTAAGAGAAACACGGGAAAACAGCTGGAGACTGAAATATTATGGATCCTTTTTTCGGAAACACAAATCAATTGAAACTGATTTGTGTTTCCAAATGTGAGCCTGGAGTTAGGAGAGCTGTGTTTAAGATTTGACTGATTGATTACCGACGCATTTTAATTCCTGCGATGACTTTCAAGGATCCAGTTTGGAAACCTCAGAAACCACCAGCTGCACATCGCAAAGATTTACTTGATGTGTGATGCAGCTGCTTCACAATAAAACTCCTCCCCGGGGCTTTTACTGTGCAACAGCTTCATGACTCACTCCTGCGCTGATCTGAGGTCAGTCATCATCTTCTCTCTCTCCAGCTGCCAAACCAGACCCGAGTGGACAGCGGCCCCGAGGTCATGAGCCAGTCGTCCTCTCTGCTGCCCATACCCGGCTTCCCCATGCAGGTCAGAGCCTTGGCCTCGGTCCTGCTGACCTCTCCAGCTCTGCTTAATGCAAACACACACCATCACACATTCTCTGGCTTTTCTTTCACGGTTGAAACTGAGACTCGATGTTTGAGTTTAGTTTTTAAGACTATCAGCCTGAGAAGAACGATGATGATGATTAGTGGATTAATAGTCAAATTAAATAACTAAGAGTGGCAGGTATGACCATAGTGAGGAGCAAACACAAAGTTACAAGGTTGAGTTTGCAGGCAATAAATGACAGCATCGGTTCACGGATGGTAAATGTGAACATTTGAATACTCGTGCTCAGCTTGTTAGCAACAGATGATGTCACTGAAATCTTCGTTCATAATAAATAAATGCGAGGCTGACGGCAGCTTGTTTGTGTGCAGGAGTACAACCAGAACAGCATCTTCAGTCAGGCCTACGGTAAAAACCTGCCGCCCAGCTCCAAGCCCGACGCTCCCATGGTGCACCAGGAGACGTCCCTCTACACGCTGTTTGAAGGCACCCCGTGGTCCCCTTCTCTCCCCGCCAGCTCAGGTACGTCACAGAGATGCGACTAATATTCATTCGTGCGGGCGGAACGTGTGGCTAATGGAAACTGTGCTCCGATTGGCAGATCACTCTACGCCAGCCAGCCAGTCTCCTCACTCGTCCAATCCCAGCAGCCTGCCGTCTTCCCCTCCAACCCACAACCACGGAGCCATGCCTTTCTCCAACTTTGGGCCCATCGGGACTCCGGACAACCGGGACCGCAGGGGAATGGACTGCTGGAAGGCCAACAAGAGTGGTGAGCCTGGAAAATGCTAACAGCCGTTTGATGTCTGTTATCCTTTAGATTTTGACCCTGTTTGGTTCAGTTAAACTTTTTCAAAACAGTCTATGGTTTAACATTTTTATCAGAGGACCAGGTGATCAAGAAGCTGACACTGTGGGCCAATAAACAGCCAGTAAAGGTCACGTGACGGCCTCGCGTGTGCTCGTTGTGTTTCAGGAGCAGTCGGCGGATTCGGTCTGGACTACCTGCCGACCGCGGCCTCCTCTGCATCAGACAGCAGCTGGCACCAGGCTGGATCGACGGGCAGCTCCTGGACCAATCAGGACTCTCCGATGGAGGAGTCGTCCTCCACCGTGCTGCTCGACAGCCTCAAGGTAACACCATGTGATTCGTGTTTATCGTCCGACTCGCTGACCTCTGCTGGATTCAGCCTCACGCTAACCCTCTGCCTCCCCCGCAGTCCATCTGGTCGAGCTCCATGATGCAGCCGGGCCCGTCGGCGCTGGAGCAGCTCCTCCTGCAGCAGAAGCAGAAGCAGCAGCGAGGTCACGGCGCCATGAACCCGCCTCACTGAACGGCAGCGCGAGGCGGCGCTTTGTGTCCGGACGTCAACAAACCACCACCAGGAGAAACGGAGGAAAAAAACCACAGATGTTTGACGAAAACAAGCTCCAACTCAAATTAAACCGGCGAGAAACGGTGGAGGCTGGGGAGGCAACACGACCCCCCGACGAGGCTGAATCACCACCCCCACCCCCCTCGGCTGTCAAGGAGCGGTGACGCCCCTCCTGGATCGGAGGGCGCGGGATCTCTTCGACCGCGGTGCCACGCACCACGCCACCGCCGGGTTTCATTCAACCGGTGGAAATCTGAACATTGAGGAACCCCCCCCCCCTTCACATCACTGCCCCCCCGTTATGGACAGACGCCACATCTCCACGAACTCGTCATCTGGAAGAACTTCTTCTTCTTTCTTTGGAAAAAGATTTAAAAAAATTAAAACGGAAAAAAGAACGACCTCCTGGACGTCTGCTCGGTCCCGATGGAGACCCGGTTTTTAGCGTCTCCGCCGCCGCTGTAGACTGAAGCGGGGCCGTTCGAGAGCCAGAATGATGTGGTTGTCGGGTTTGGGGGGAGGCCAGGTGATGCACGGGGGGGTCAAAACAAGACTGGACTTTCTGATCTCCATTCATTTTCATTACTGAGGAGGGAGGAAGGAAGGAAGGAAGGAAGGAAAGTTTTCAGCTATATAAATATATACGTGAATATATATTGCCATAGTTGGACTTGTGTCTTAGCCGTGAGAATCAGGACTGGACGTTGTGAAGCCGGGTGTAACGCCTCCCGGGCTGAGCGCCCGCTTGTGCCCGACGACGGGGTGGCTTTACGAAGAACTGAGGAAAGATCATAAACACCCTGTCGACCGTAGGGATAGTGTCACTGTTAGCTTCAAGAGATTGCAGTTATTAACAAAAAAACACAAAAAATAGAAAATGTACTTTGTGATTTGTTCGTAGCCGTTTTAGCTTCGCGCCCTGCGGGGTGATACAGGTATGTCTATTAGCTTCCTGCTTGGATATTTTCGGGGTTCTCTTCCTCTCTGACCTCTTCTTCCTGTTATTTCTTTACGTAATGAAGAAAAAATGGAAATATGTAACCCTGCTTGCTTACCTGCATTTACTGTTTGTTTTTGTTGCCGTTCTTCTTCACTGGTTTTATGCAGCTCGCCCAGAACGTTTTCTATGATCCTTTCTCGGAGAAGCACGACTGCAGCTCGAGGCTGTGCAGCAAATTTGTTTTTTTATTATTATTATTATTATGGAACGGAGCGTCTGGAGACCCTGTAGCTCTGCTTTTATTGAACCTGTGAGTGAAGCCCCGCCCCCTTCAGTGTAAAGCCACCCTAACCAGACTCAAAAGCTACCAAGAAATAACGGGAAAAACCAGCTAAAAAAGTGTATTTGATTACTGGTGAATCTGCAGGTCAAAAATATTTCCCGGTTTGCTGTAAAATACAGAAATATTTAGTTTAATGACATAAAAGTGAAAACATGCAGGAGGTGGTGAGGACACGCTGAGTAACTCATCACAGGCAGAGTGAAATATGAAGCAATTAAGAAATTAATTATTTTAATGAAGAATCTATTTTCTTTATTTAATCAGTGAATCATTTGTGAAGACTAAAAATTCCTTCAGTGTTTCGTTTCCTGCTGCTTCTAACCAATCCTGTAAGAGCGGCTCAGCTTCCTGTGACTGACAGAAAAAGGGCGGCGCTCTCATGGTCCTTCGCCGTTGCTGCTCTCCTTTCGTTCTTTAAGGGTTTAAAGATTCATTTGATGTTTTTTCTAACAAACCTGCAACGTCGTTCAGAAAAAATGTAAAACGTCTAACTCGCCGATGAACGGACTTCTTGTTGCTTTCGCTTCATTTGAAAGAAGAAGGTTCACCTGCAGCCCAGTTTGATCTCACGCCAGTAAAACCAGAGCATATATCTTTTTAAAAATAGTTTTGGCTTCAGTGGAAAGAAGTACTGAAACCTTGTGAAAACAAATCTTTGAATAATTGAGAGCAGATCACGAGCAGCTCTGCAGGGAAACCAAGTCTGCTTTAAACATTAAGCTTTAGTTCCAAACACCAACGTCAGTATTTCACTTGTCTATTAATCAGCAGTGCAGTTTATTGACAACATGTAATTATTAAGGTCTTTACTGCAGGTTTCAC